GTGCCGGCAGCGCCGGGCCCGCCGAGCCGCCGCCGTGCCCGCGCCTCTCGGCCGCGCCGGGGCACCGCCGGCACAGCGTCCCGGGCTCCGCGCGTGAAAACGGGGCGGAAAGTTTGCGGGATGTTGTGCTTCGCTGGGAGCGTTTACCAGGCTTCCGAAATCCCCTGAATGCCCTTCTCGTACACCAGCAAATAGACCAGCACTGGCTCCGCGGAGCTCTGCGAAATGTTTCCTAAAAGTCATTTGGGTCCTGAGAGTCGATTTGGGGCTTTTAAGTGAGTTTTGTGAGCTTTGAATGCACTCGACTTTTACCGCTTCCTCAGCATAATCCCCTTTCTCATCTCAGTAAACTTATTTATTTTTCTTACGATATTATTCCCACTTCCGCTCGAAGTTTGGAGTAGGAGTTGGAGAAGCGTTAGGTTTTTAGTTGTCTTTCATCGGCCTCCTGTGAAAGAATTTGGAACTTCTTAAAGTGAGCCGAGGAAAGAAAAGCAGAGAGGGGCTTTTTTACATCTTCACTTCGTATGATTGCATCTTTTGACATTTGCTATATTTTTTTGTTTGTTTTTAGTAGGTGGAATAGGTCAAAAACACTTCAAAGTATCTTTTTTTAAAGTAGCCGTTTTCTTCTGTTTTTAGTCTTTTGATCTGATTTTGCACATCGTTTTCAAATGAAGTACAGTGGGAGTGTGAGAAAGGAATGTTAACTGAGCAGCTTTCCTGCCTGTTGCTAAAGGATGTCCTTGAAGTAAGTTGGATCTTGCCTGAAATGATGGCATGGAAGTGAAGCTCTTGTTTCGTTTGGGTGGCTGTTGTAAGTTAAAGAAGAGAATGACGAAGTTTATTCTGTTTTAAAACAGTTTGCTAGGAAAAGCAGTGTACTCTACTATAAAATCTGTAGGAGCCTTCCCTTTCCCTTTCTAGTCCTGGTGCCGGGCTGTGGCTGGTTTACATGGCAGGACGCTGAGTTTTGAGTCAGTTGCCCAGAAGGTGTGCTTTGTAATGGTGCTTCAGGGCTCAGAACGCTGCAGAAGCATTAGCATAGAGCTACCCCCGCCTTCCCGGGGTCCCCGGCCCTGGCAGCAGCTTCTCACTTGGGCAACACAGGGTGGGAGAGCTACGGCGGGGACGAGTTTGCGTTATGTGCCTGTGAAATTGCAAAACAAAACTTGGAAATTCGGAGCGCTTCTTTCTCCTCCTTTCACGCTGTGAGTTCAGGTTTGCTAATCCATGTCCGGCTTGCGCAGGGTGCAGGCGAGGGGAGCATCGCTGCCTCTGCGGACGCTTGCAGTAAGGTACTGCTGGGCAGAATTTTGAGCGAATCCGTAGAGTGGCTCCGTGAAAATTTCTTGCATCTGATTTGAATTCCGGTTTGTTAAAACTTTCTGCTATGGTTTCATACCTAAAGATCAATAGGGAAAAAAGTTCCTCACACTGCATCAGCAATTTTTGGTTTGGCTTTTTTTTTTTTTTTTCCTTATCTCAGTCTCTCTCTTTTTTTTTTTTTTTTTTAAAGTTCAAAGCTCATTTGTTCACTCCCACCAGGAAGACTTTCCACTTTAAAATATATTTCTGGTGCAGTCAATGGATAAGTACGTTTGCTCTTGTAAAATCCTGTGTATGTGCACTTTTGATAAAGTTCACATTGGAGTAAGCAGAGCACCTCTCAAATTAATAGCAGAAATTACTTGCAGCATAAATTATATTCAACAAGTAACTAATTACTGGTAGGAAGTGGGTAAGAGATCGTGGGATTATTTCCTTTTGTTAATAACTGCAGTCACTTTCATGACATTTTAGATTTTTTTTTCCTGGTTTCTTGGAATTACATTCTGAGTTGTAAAAGAACATTTTTGGGGTGCAGTGTTCCAAGGCAAAAGTTATATTGGAGAAATAAACCATCTAGACTTTGGCAAAGAGAAAATATTTACAGCCCTTTCTTTTAAAGCCTCATCAGAACCAGTGCCCTTTCATGTCAATAATGGATTTTGGTGAATTCCTGCTGCAGCATTACGATCATCCACATAATTGTTTCTGGGCCCATGAAATAAAAGAAATTAGGGTTGCTTTCCTCAGTGGGATCTGGAGGACAGGATGCTTAGGAGACAGAACTGCACAGTGAGGCTGCTTTTAGTTCATTACATAATTAGGCCTTTTTGTGAGTAGCTGCAGTCTGTTGGTTCAGGATACAGACACTTGGGTTTTTTTCCAAAGGTGAGCCCAGGGTGTAGAGGGCCTTGTGAAATATCACTTATGCAGATGCAATTCAGAAATAATTACTGAAACCCATATGGTGGAAGTTGTCTAAACCCAGTGTTAGTTCAGACCCGTTGTATGTGTGTTTCCCCTACATAACCCCAATCTTTGTCTTGCTGCAAAATATTTATGTTTTAGTTTGTACCTTATTTATCTTTTTGATGCTAAGTAGCATCTGGCTCCCTGAGGACAAGCCCTCCTGTATATTTAGCTGTACCAATGCTTATTGCACAACTGGCTT